ATATAGAAAATATTCTTAACGGAGAAGGTAAAATGCTAAATAAGGAAACGAAAGGAGAAATTTGTGGATATAGCTATATAAATGAAAAATTTTTTAAAATAGACAAGTGGAGTGGAGATATAGCTGATATAAAGTCAAAAGACATAATCGAAGAAAGAATATCAAATAAAAAGACATTCGGAGTCCCGAATTTATCGGTTCATATTTATGTTAAACACAGACTGAAAAATATATCAGAAAATCAACTTGATATTTTACAATTGATGCACAGTAGTTTAGTATATAGGAACATAGGCAATAGACCGATAGAGCAACAAGGAGCATGGATTAATCCACCTACTAACAACTGGTCAATAAGTGAAATTTTTATAAAAATGGAGTATTGGGAATACTTAGAAAGATTAATGGTTATAATAAATATAGTGTATTGGATTCTAAAAGTATGGGAATGGAAAAATAAACAGATAGCGAGACAGATCACCCGAAAAGATCAAAATCTAAAAATGGGGAGTGTTGTGGATTGTACCAAAAATTTAATAAAGTTCTGCCCGTCAAGGAAATACAGGTGCCTGTCAAGGACATGGAGGAAAAGCCGGAAGAAATTGAACTTGAGAGAAGAAACACGAGAAAGAAGAAAAGATGTTATTGAGATCTTATCGGCCAATCTTTTACATTAATAATTTTAATATATAAGGCTTTATGATTTTCCCAGCTTTTAACTTTTACACTTCCATATACATATTTTTTAAATAAAATAAAATTTTTCTTCTTTTAAAATAAATAAAAATTATTTTATAATAAGAATTAATAATAGAGTAAGGTAGAGGTTTAAATCGCCCAGTCCACGGCCCTTTTAAATCTTTAAATTATAAAGACTAATTTGGTGATATTTAGGCGAATTGTTCATCTTTCAATACGTGGCGAGCAACGGACCTGTAAAATTGTTCAAATCGCCTTGTTAAAATTGTTCAACGAAGCTAATAAAAAAGGACGTGAAAGGTGTTTAAATTTAAATAAAAATCTGAAAAATTAAAATTAAATTTAAAATATAAATAAAAATAAATATGGATAGGCCTATACTAAGTTTTGAAAGGATAATTTTAGAATTGGTAGATAGGTTAAGGGAATTAGAAAATAAAGATCTACCGAAAAAATTAGGGGATAAAGCTACGCCAAATCAGCTGCGTAGACAATACTTTTTTGTTAAAAATACTTTAGAGCAATTTGGGGATTTAATTTACGAAATAGATGATAATAAGAAAAAGGCGACCGAATATATAGGAAGATTGTCAGCAGCGAGTAAAGAAATTAAAGAGGCTTCATTTTCGACATTTCTAGAAGAGTTAGACTTAACGAGTATTTTGAAAGAGGTGAGAAAAATTAGAGCGAATTGGGAGACTTTGAAATATAGTATAGAGGAAAGATTAGATATAGACCCAGAAGAAGCTTCAATTGGTTCCTCAAATCACGGGGGAACCTCTATTAAAGCGAAATTACCACAAATCCAAATACAGAAATTTGACGGAGAAATAGAGAGTTGGTTTTCCTTTTGAAAGAATTTTAAAGTGTTAGTACACGATGAGAGGAATTTGTCGGAAATAGAGAAATTTAATTTTTTACAGGCAGGTTTAGAAGGAGCAGCTAAGGAATTAATAGAGGGTATACCAATAACAAAAGATGGATACTACGATTCGATTGATTTAATATTAGAGAAGTTTGGAGATAGTAAAAAGCTAATAAGGTCATTAAACCAGGAAATAATGAATTTGCCAATATCTGAATGCTTTGAAGAAGATGAGAGATTATATTTAAGAATAGAAAAAATATGTCGATTATTAAATTCTTTAAAACAAAATACAGATGACACCCCTTATTATATGGCGTTAGAGAGTAAATTAAGTGCAGAAGTTTTAGATAAATATTTTGCAATAAAATCAATAGAAGAAGAAGAGGATTGGTCAACGGAAAAATTTAGAGCCGCGTTTAAAAAAGCACTTACACACGTTAGAACGATTAAGGAAGTACAATATTCGGTTAGAAAACAAAAAGTAGGAGACAAAATAATAAGTTTAACGACAACCACAAATAAAAATTCTAACAATAACTGGTATGGCAATAATCAAAATAGAAATTTTACACAATTTAGACCATCTAATAATAGAGATTTTAGTCCAAATAGAGAAAAATTCCGTGATAAAAATTATAACCAAAATAGAGAAAATTATAATAGAGATAGATCCAGATCTTTTAGTCCCTCTAGTGAAGAAGATAAGAGAAATAATCAATATAGAAAAAGAAGAGACTCTCCCTTTCCAGACCGAGGAAAGAGCAGCTCGGATAGCCGAAGCCGATCGAGAGAAAGGGAAATTATTTGCGCTCTTTGCTCTAAAAATCATACGGAAGTAGACTGCACAAAATATAAAAGTGCAGAAGAGAGGAGGAACGCTTGTCTTAAAAAAGAGTTGTGTTTTTACTGCCTATACAAAGGACATATGGCCTCACAATGCAGAAGAAGAAGAACGTGCGTATTTTGTAGAAAAGCTCATCACTCAGCACTCTGCCGCAAAAAATATGGAAATATAAGAGAAAAAATAAATTTAAGTTTGGAAAAAATAAATAAAGTAGAGGAATTAAAAGACACAGATTTATCGAATTTAGGCAAAGAAATTATAACTAATTGTAGAACAAATATAAATAAAGACTGTAAAATTGAAAATAATTTAGTTAATTCGTGTTTATTAAATCCGGAAAGCAAAATGTCACTGCTTAAAGTAATACCAGTAAAATTATATAACCCTTTAAATAAAGAAAAAACAATAAAAGAGTTTGCATTATTAGATGATGGCAGCCAAAAATCATATATAGAAGAAGAGCTAGCAAAAGAACTAAAACTGTGTAATAATAAGATAAAGAAATTTCAAATAGAGGGAATAGGAAAAACTAAAATGGGGACTTTTGAAAAACCAATAGTAGAATTTGGAATAAGAAAAGGGAACTTTGATAAATTGATAAAAGCGCGTGCGTTACCGACTGTTTTAAATAATCTGCCTTATGTGTCAATAGAGTCAATTCCAAAAAAACAGTTAAATAGAAATAAACTTTTAGCAGAATTACAGATGATAAAGCCTAGATTGTCGATAGGAAATGATCATTATAATAAGTTTATAATTTCAACTAATAAACAATTACCATCTGGATTTTGGTTATCTAGTTCAAATATAGAAAATATTCTTAACGGAGAAGGTAAAATGCTAAATAAGGAAACGAAAGGAGAAATTTGTGGATATAGCTATATAAATGAAAAATTTTTTAAAATAGACAAGTGGAGTGGAGATATAGCTGATATAAAGTCAAAAGACATAATCGAAGAAAGAATATCAAATAAAAAGACATTCGGAGTCCCGAATTTATCGGTTCATATTTATGTTAAACACAGACTGAAAAATATATCAGAAAATCAACTTGATATTTTACAATTGATGCACAGTAGTTTAGTATATAGGAACATAGGCAATAGACCGATAAAGCAACAAGGAGCATGGATTAATCCACCTACTAACAACTGGTCAATAAGTGAAATTTTTATAAAAATGGAGTATTGGGAATACTTATAAAGATTAATGGTTATAATAAATATAGTGTATTGGATTCTAAAAGTATGGGAATGGAAAAATAAACAGATAGCGAGACAGATCACCCGAAAAGATCAAAATCTAAAAATGGGGAGTGTTGTGGATTGTACCAAAAATTTAATAAAGTTCTGCCCGTCAAGGAAATACAGGTGCCTGTCAAGGACATGGAGGAAAAGCCGGAAGAAATTGAACTTGAGAGAAGAAACACGAGAAAGAAGAAAAGATGTTATTGAGATCTTATCGGCCAATCTTTTACATTAATAATTTTAATATATAAGGCTTTATGATTTTCCCAGCTTTTAACTTTTACACTTCCATATACATATTTTTTAAATAAAATAAAATTTTTCTTCTTTTAAAATAAATAAAAATTATTTTATAATAAGAATTAATAATAGAGTAAGGTAGAGGTTTAAATCGCCCAGTCCACGGCCCTTTTAAATCTTTAAATTATAAAGACTAATTTGGTGATATTTAGGCGAATTGTTCATCTTTCAATATAATTGATAAATTTGTTTGTTTTAAATGGAATGGTAAACTTGCAAAAAACCTTAATAATTTTTGGCCTTATTACATTGGTGATAACATTTTAGTTAATAATGTTATTTATTAATTAAAGGCATTTTCCAATAATTTTCAGTTTATATAAAATTCAAAAAATTTATTAATGAAATTTTTGGAATAAAGATTTGTTTTTGAATATTTAATAAATAATTTTAAATTTCCCAACTCTGAACGAATATACCTATTATTCAAATATACAAAAAACATATTTTCGTGATTTTATTATATTTTATAGTAAATATAAAGGAATTTGCTCGGGAGGAGTGACTCATTTAATATTTATTTTTCTCTTTCCCAACAGTTTTTTTTGTTTTTTATTTATTTTATTTTTCCTTTTCCATTATTTTTAGTCTCAATTTTTTGATTTTATAATAGTAAACATTGTCTTATTTTTTAGACTATAACATTATAGTTTTATATTTTAGACTAAAGATTTTTATGAAAATGAATTTCCTTCAACCCGAAGTTCAACTAGATATATTTAAATATCTCGATTTCAATCAATTATTAAATATTCAACAAACAAATATTTACTTCAAAAATTTTATTGATCAATGCAAAAATTTATTGGCACGGAAAAAATTCAATAAACTCCAAATTGTATTTTTTTCTAATTGAGTTTAATAATTTTTTTAGTTTCATATTAATAAAGGCAGATTAATTAATTATAAATTCTTTAAACCCGAACCTAAACTTTATGATTTTCAATTAAGTGAACAACTCGAGAAAAAGGTTAAAAATAAAAATTATCTAGTTTAAAATAAATCAATTTAGTGGAAATGTGGAATAGAGAAATCAATTCCTATGTTTTTAGGTTGTGATTATAAAAGAATGTATTCTGCTGTCTGTGGAATAGAAGAAAATGATGAATTTGTATTAGGTTAATTTGTTAGAAATAAAATATTAATGCTGATCGAATGCAAGTTTCCTTCCGTTGTTTTCAAACAAAAACTACTAATTTATTTTTTCATTAAAATAAAATTTCAATTAGAATTTTGTTTACAATTTCCACACCGTCCAAAAAATATTGAACAGATGAAAATTGCTCGTTATTTCTTCCATCAAATATTTAAATGTGCCTTTGAATATGCTGATTTTCTTCTCCTTATATTTAATCCACAAATGATTCAACTATTATTTGATGCGAATATAACAAATATACCTTTGAAAATTCATTCCCAACAAGCCAATATATATATTGACAATGAATATACTGAAAGTTTTTCTAAATTTATATTGAACCATCTGATTTCTAGCAATATTGCTGTTAATATTAACGGAATCAACTTTATAGAGCAATCTAGAAATAATTTATTTGAGATTTTGACAAGTGGAGGAAATAGATTTTTGAGTGTCACTTATGATTGGATTGACTCAAGACTTTACAATCTAATTATACAGGTAATGCTAAATAATTTTATGTAAATACATAGTAGACCTCAAAAAATCTAGTCGATCTTAAAAATAAGCGAAGGATACAACACTCCCACGAGCCTTATTTGCAAGAGACAATATAGGGGCTATACAGGGAGGACTATATTTTGTTTAATCTATCCCGGTCATTTCTTGATTAATCTGTTAAAAGTATTTAATTTTAGCATATAGAAACATCAAATAATGTTTCTAAAATTGTGAAGGACATCAGATTTTATTGTGTTGTTGGAGATCTTATGACAAGTAAAAGAGCAGAAAATATTGAAAATAATGTTAGAAGCAACAATTTAAAATCTACAAAATACCTACTTTCTAATAAATACGTTCAAGAAATGAAGTTTTATATTTATAATAACGAGTTTCAAGAAAGGGAATTTTATGTTGAAATTAAGAGAATTAATTGACAATTTATTTAGTTTGAATACATATTTACATACCGTATATACTCTAATTAAATGACATCTACAATTGAATGACATCTCTAATTGAATAACACTTTTTTGGGGTAAATGAAAAATAGAATGACTGTTGAAGGATAATTTAACATCAGAAAATTAAAATCGAAAATAAGTATAGGCTCTCAATTTCTGAAAAATATTGGCCATTCATTCATTTGTTTCTGGTCAAATTCCTTAACTTTCAAGCCAAGCTCTATGATAATCATAAATATGAGAGACTCAGCTCGGCGAGCTCTTTCGAATGACACCTCATTTGTCGAAATCGGTCCAGCCAAAAAAACCCTCTATAGTCACAACATTCAAAAATTTAAAGAAATTAAAATGAATCGAATTAAAAAATTAAAAAGTCACAAATAAACAGAGAGAATAAATTAGAATTAGGCTTGTCTAAAAATGTATTAATTTTGTAAATTTCCCCAAAATTCATAAAATCATTTAAAAATACAAAAATTTAAAAATCAAAACAGGCACAGAATAAATTAAAAATCTTAAAAAGGATCACTTAAAGGCACAATGGCGATGCGATTAGACGGTCAACAATTCGGTCCATTTCTAATTGCATTGCATCAGACGAGGCTCGTCGCTGTTTGTTTTCCTTCTCACGACTAGGTTCTTCAAGAATCTAAAATAAAAACAATGAAAATCCAACAAATAAGATTTTTCGAAGAGGATGGAAGAAAGTTAACTTCCATTAAGGTCACCTTAACAAGGTGAAAAAATTAATATACCGAAAAGGTTAAGAGATACATACGAAGATATAATTAAAGAATTTCTGATTCTGTTGATTGATCTGCTTTGGGAAATCGACCCAATTTTTCTGTCGCGATAATTTACGAATTTTACCCTTCTCATTTCAAAAATATAACCAAAAGCTCGCTGAGTCGAATCGAATGGTATGGGTCTTGTATCGGAACTAAAACTCCGGTATACTAAACTACAGCCAAAAAATTACAAAAACAAACCTTATCTTCTTCTTCTTGAACTCTATTTCCTTCATTTTCAATTTTTTCTTCAATTCCTTCAATTTCAACTGGGTTGCAAGGAATTGCAACAATATGATGACAATCAATTGCAGAAATAACCAAAGTGGGCGAAGGTTGTGGAAAAGTCATTACACTTTTTTCATCGACTGCCGAATTTGATAATTCATCTGGAATGAAAAAATTATACTAAGAACTTTTGCGGACAAAACTCTCCCTTTGGCGTGCATAGGAAAATAAAGGTTATTGAAATAATTTTCCTTTCTTTAAAAAATTCAGCAATGAAGGGTGCCGGAAAATTGGGCTCCAGCGGAATTTTGGGCTAAGCCAGAAAAAACTAAGCGAAAAGGGCTCTAAAATTTTAGGCGGGTCATTTTGACGTCGGAGTGAATTTCTGGATTTATTCGAGAAATATCACAAAATTCTCTGGAGTGCTAATACTTAGTGGGTAGGTCGGCATTTCCAAGGTGAAAATCAGTAAAAAAGGGATAGGTTTATGTTACTGTTGTAGCACCCAGCGACAGTTGACTTCCACGATGCCCATACGTTTACGTTGTTTGATTTATTGTTATTTTCTAATAAATCTATAGATTTACTCCGACGCCCAAAATGCACCGCACCTAAAATGCCTAATAACCTTACCATTTTCAACAGACAAAAGACTACGTTCCAATACTTCGGCATTTTCATATATATGAGTTGAAAGTGGAGATTCTGGAATTTCTTCGTGTGGTGTTTCTTCTTGGTGCCGACAAGTGTGTATCTCTTGCCTAATAACCTTACCATTTTCAATATTTATCCTGCCAGTACAATTAATTGTTGATTGATGAATGCATCTGAATGCACCAACAGATTTAGAAAAATAATATTCATGGCATTTATAAACCACTTTTTTAGTTCCATTTGGCATTTTTACGGTAATTGGGAAAAGATTTCTAGCAATTGCTAGAGCTTCTGTGGACTTGTTTGCATAATTTTCTGCCAAGCGTGCAGGTAACGCATCCAAGGCCTCGGAAAATTTTTTAATTGAATATTTTGTAAGCTTAGACTGAGTTTCAACAAAAAGTTGAATTTGCTGAGACAGTCCAATTTCTATTGTACCTGCATCGGCCAATAACTTAAAAAAGAATGTTTTACTTTTAATTAGTAAATAAGAGGTTTTATCAATTTTAGAGATTTGTACTCCAGAAAGATTAGCCATCCTTACCCTCCTCAACCTAAATATTCATCAATTTAAGATACGGTTGACAATTTGAATGGCTACTGAAGGTAGGGGCTGCCTTAGAAATAATCTCTATTTAAGATACACCTCATTACAAAATACAACTTTAAATCCCGTAAAGCCTATGGTGAGATGCGATGTACTACATGACGCAAAACAGTTTAAAATTAAAAAACCTGATCAATCCACAAAATAGAACAAACAGCAATTGTTGCCAATTTCAATGCCCACAATTTTCCATTAAATAAATTATAAATTCCTGCTTCCTTTGCATCAACCAATTTTGAATTTAAAACATCAATTCCTTCATTAATTAATCCATTTTTATGAGCAGCATACAAATTAGCCAAAGCCTCTATAGTTTTCATTCCACAATTTTTAGCCAATTGCTTGGGTAGAACATCCAACGCTGTAGCAAATTTTCTAATTGAGCATTGTTCAGGTCTGAATTGAGTTTCTGCAAAAAGTTGAATTTGTAGGGACAGTTCAATTTCTGTAGCACCAGCACCGGCCAATAACTTTAAAAATTTTTTTTCTAATTTTTGATTATTAAACATGTTTATTCAGGCCAGATTCAATTCTATTTTGTTTTTTAAATAATTAAAAAATCCAAACCCGTTTATCCTTATTTTTAGTCAACGCTTTAAATTTATTAACTCCATCATCAATAACTAGTTTTGGTAGAATTTCTTCAGCTTTAGCCAACGATTTTTTATAGCCAGAAGCAATTTCAATAGGTTTTATTCCCTAATTTTTAAAGTTTTTAGATATGGTCAGAAATCGGTAATAGTGTCGTTTCCAGTCCCACTTTTATCCTTCCCAATTTCTTACCCTATGTTTGTACGGAATGGTCAAATCTTCCCCTTTCTCCCATCAAATTTGCCTTTCTATATTTTGCCTAAAAACAATCAGTAAAATTAATTTTATATTCAATTCTTTCACAAGGGTAAAAAAGTGAGACATTATGCTAAAAATTATAAAAAAAAACATTTTCAGTATCACCAAACCGTTGTTCGCCTCTTCGCTGCTTACATATTCTTTTGAATTTTCGATTGTTTTAGGCAAAATATAGAAAGGCAAATTTGATGGGAGAAAGGGGAAGATTTGACAATTCCGTACAAACATAGGGTAAGAAATTGGGAAGAAAAAAAAGGGGGACTGGAAACAACACTATTACCCAGAAATCCCCCATTTTAGTCATGAGTAGGAATGTAATCAACAACCTCCTAGACGTTCTTGATAATTCTAGCTCTATGGTCACCAGGCCCGTAACCAGGATTTTTTTCACGGGTAGTTTTCGGCACCGAAGGCGAAAATTTTGAGAAATTTGCAGAGCTGTAGGCTAAAAAATTCACATTTTTGCTCAATCTTCTCCCTAGATTTTTCACTTTTCCCCATTTCGGGGGGGGGGGGGGGGGGGGGGTATTCCTCACCACTACTTCCCGTTACGGGCCATGAAATTTACAGTGTATCTGTGCTGTGTAATGCATAAATGCCTGATTCAGCTAATATAACACCCTCCACCCGCGCTACCCACTCAATCTTTTGCTCACAAAATTTTTAACACAATAAAATCGAACCTTAGAAACCATTTGATTAGCTTGTTCCAACAATGAAGCAGCAAAAATAACAACAGTATTTACACAATTTTCCAAAAATTTTTTATGCATTTGATTTGCCAGAATAATGATATTAGGATGTTGAATCTCTAATTCGTTAAGAATTGATGTTATATCAATGTTGAGCAATGATTCTTCAAGACGATTAATTGCCATTTTATTATGTATTCTTTAAAAAATAAATTATGGCAATAAAAAACAAAAAAAGCATTAGGGCATTAGGCCCTAAGAAATTATGCCTTTAAATTAGTCCATGTGACAAAATGGTACTCGGCTTTTTGGGACACGCCCGAATTGTCGTGGGCCAACTTGTCGTGTCTCTCTAGGCTTACCCCGGCTTTTTTAATAAAATAAAAAACGGGGACAAAGGAAAAATATATTTTGCGAAAAATGTTTGAATAATTTGGGGAAGTAAAAAAATCCATATTTTGCCTAAAAACAATCAAAAAGATTAATTTTTATTCAGTTCTTTCACAAGGAGAATCACCAAGCATGGAAAATGTTTTCTGGCTATTATAGAAGGAAAAAGAAGTCTTGATTGTTTTTAGGCAAAATATGGAAAGGCAAATTTGGTGAAAGAAAGGGGAAAATTTGACCATTCCGTACAAACATAGGGTGAAAAATTGGGAGGAAAAAATGTGGACTGGAAACGACACTATTACCCAACTTTTCTCTGTTAAATTATTTTCTTCTTCAACAAGTGTTTCATCTCCAATTTTATTTTTAATATTATTAGAATTGTCAGTAGAAAATGACCATTCTTCTATTTGTTTTGGTGTTTTCATATTTTTTAAAAATTATCTTCTGAAAATCTTGTTTTGGAGTGAATGATTAATAGAGTATAAATTTAATTTTTTTAGAAAAAGTTAAATGAATTTGTTTAAATTTAAAATAATATCTTTTTAAAACAGATAATTCATAAAAAAAAATTGAAAAAAATATATGTTTTATGGCATTTAAATAAAGTAATTTTTTTCTTAAATTTATAAACGTTACGTCAATGTCGGAAAAGGTAACTGAATAAAAAATATTTATATACTTAAAGTTTTTTTGCCCAAAGTAAGTTTTATTTAAGGAACTTAAAAATTATAAATTTTTATAGAATATTTGTTGAGGGAATATTTTAAAAATTAAAGATAAGAAAATGTTTTGAGGAAATTATGGGTAAAGGGCAAAACACGGTCTTTTCATAACATGGAAAGGTCAACACGTAACGACCAAAACACAGTTCAGAGAAATAATAATTCTTGTCTGTTTTTTAAATATTCTAGAATCAAAGAATATTATTCAAAAATGATAAAAGTTTTAAATTATTTAAAAATAAATTTAAGAAAAATAATATAACCTTTTTCGGAAAAGCTTAAATATTATTTGTGGTGGATCAGCATTAATTTAAAATATAATTTAACAAATTTTAATTATATGTACATATTACTAAAAAACTTTAAAAACTCTAATTTAGTAGTAAGTTTTTCTTTTTAAAAAAATTTTAAAGACTTACATACATACATTCCAGACTTACATGCTATTTGAATAAGGAAATTAATTTGCTTATTATTTCAATTTATTTAACCTTTAACTAATAATTTAGCTTTAATTATTTATCTTTTAAGAAATTGTCTACAAAATGAATAAAGAAGGGTCATTAAGTGTTGAAACACAAAACAATGATTTAATTAAACTTCAAAATACTATTGTTGAAAAGAGTGAAAAGACTGTAAAAAGAAATAAAAAAAGAAAAATTAATCTTAAAAATAAAAATTTTTTGCTTGAAAATGAATTGAAGGAAATGGATAAAGTTGGGTGATTTTTATTAAATATTTTTAAAATATTTTTAGAAAATTGAAAAAATAAATTCTAACCACAAAAATAAAATTGAAGAAATTAAACAAAATTTTCAAAAATTAATTGTTGAAAATGATGTTTGTTTAAAGCAAAAAGATGCGAAAATTAATTCTTTGGAGGAAAAAATTAGGGAGGTAAAGACTTAAAAATATATGAGAAATTGTGTTTTCTAATTAAAATATTTTTGGTAAATTAAATTAGGTATTATGTAATGAATTTTTGTTTTAAATACTATTAACTTTTTTTTATTTAAAAAGGCTGACAAAAAGAATAATGATATGACAATTAAATTGAAGAATATTTATTGTAAATATGTGGTTGGTTTACTATAATCCTATATATAATTTTAGAGTTCTCTGTTTGTCCGCAGCTTTAAATTTTGCTGTGTTTGGCGTTGTGTTTATTTCTTTAATTAAAAATGACAAAATATCCCAAATAGAAAATAGTGTGTATTTAGAGAAGTAAAGAAAGAATGTGAATTTTTTAGAATTTGTTTTGTCTTTTTTTGGAATTTTTTTTATTTTTTTTTGTTTGTTAATTGTATTTAAGATGTGTTTTGATTGTTTTTTTGTTTTTTAAAATTTGTTTTATTTGAAAAGAAAAATATGTAGTGTGTATTTAGGGAAGAAAAGAAAGAATGTGAATTTTCTAGAATTTGGTTGGGTTTTTTTGGAAATTTTTCATTTTTTTTCGTCTGATAGTAATTAGATTGTGGGAAGAGTTTCAGTAATGTTGGAAAGAAAAGGGTTCCGTAAATGTGAAAAGAGTCTGTAAATAGTTGAAATAATGGTGAGCAGAAAGGGTACCGTAAATGGGTGAGGGTCCCGTAACTGGGTGAAATAGGTCCGGAAAGGGTTGGAAAGGTCCCAAAATGGGTGAAAAGGGTCTAGCGATGGTTGGTATAATGGTAAGTGAAAATGGTTTCGTAAATGGGTAAAAAGGGTCTGGAAATGGTTAGAATAATGGTGAGCAAAAAGTGTCGCGTAATTGGGTGAAAAGGGTACGGAAATAGTTGAAATAATGGTTAGCGAAAAGGGTCCCGTAACTAAGTGAAAAGGGCCCGGAAATGGTTGGAATAATGGTGAGCAAAAATGTCCCGTAACTGAGTGAAAAGGGTCCGGAAATGGTTGGAATAATGGTGAGCGAAAAGGGTCCCGTAACTGAGTGAAAAGGGTCCGGGAATGGTTGGAATAATGGTGAGCGAAAAGGGTCCCGTAACTGAGTGTAATAGGTCTGGCAACAGTTGGAATAATGGTGAGCGAAAATGTATGAAAAGGGTCTGGCGATGGCTGGAATAATGGCAAGCGAAAATGGACCCGAAAACGGGTAAAAAGGGTCTGACAAAAGTGGGAAGAAAAGATTTCGAGCAACAAGCAAGAGAAGTGTCCGACAAAAAGTTTGAGAAAAGGGTTCGCCAATAAGTAAGATAAAAGGGTCCGTCAATAGGAAAGAAAAAATAGTCGTTCAATAGGCTTGAGAAAACGGTTCCACAATGGGTGAGAAAAAAGTGGTGGTGACTGAGTTAGAAGTCTGACAACGGTTAATTCACAAGGGTTGTTAATAGTTGATAGTTAAAAATTAATATTTGAAGGTTGGTTAATAGTTAATAGTTGTAAATTAATATTTGAAGGTTGGTTAATAGTTAATAGTTGTAAATTAATATTTGAAGGTTGGTTAATAGTTAATAGTTGTAAATTAATATTTGAAGGTTGGTTAATAGTTAATAGTTGTAAATTAATATTTGAAAGTTGGTTAATAGTTAATAGTTGAAATAGATATTAATAGTTGAAAATTGAGTCTTAGTTAATAGTTGAATCATTGTTAATAGTTAATAGTGAAAATTGATAGTCAATAGTAGAATAGATATTAATAGTTGGAAGTTGAAAGTTTTAGTTAATAGTTGAATCATTGTTAATAGTTAAAATTGATAGTTAATAGTAGACAGATATTAATAGTTGGAAGTTGAAAGTTTTAGTTAATAGTTGAATTAGAGTTAATAGTTGAAGACTGGGGTTTTAGGTATGAGGTATTTTAATTTAAGTTTATGTAATGTTTAGAATTTGGCTAGCGGAAGGGGCTCGCCCGAAGGGCGACCCCCTCCGCTAGTTAAATAAAAAATTAGAATTATTTATTCTCATTTAATTTTAATATACATATGTATGTACTTTATTACGCCGCCCACCCAGTTTTTTTGGAAATATTTTTTCTTAACTCTAAAGATAATTATCTTCTTTTGGGATATAAAATGTTTGTAATCATTAAAGGGATGTAAATTATAATCGGACATTTAAAACAACCATTTTGTATCTTTCCAATAAAAAATGAATAAAAACTATGTTAATATCTCTATCGAATCTAATAAAAATAGGCTTTAAAAGATCCAACTCTTCCCAAAGTCGAGAACAGTAACGCCAAATCAACGTGAAACGAAGGTAAAGCATTCCAAAAAATACTTTCGATCCCCTTAAGGTTGGTTACAATTTCTGATTATCAAATAAAAAGATTTATCAAATACATCCCATAGATAATTACAAAGATTTACCAGGGACAAGAGGGTTATACCAGGACAGGAGTTGAGAAAAATTAAAAAAAATTTTTAGAGTTGAGAAAAATATTTCGAAAAAACTAGCTAGCCCAAACTCTAGACACTTGTATAAACATGTAAATTTCAAACTTATTTAAATAATATTTAAAACTCTTTAAATTTTCTTAGAATTTAAAAAAGGTTTCCTACAAATTTGGCTGTTGTATTGTTTGTCAATCACAATTGGATCATGAAAATGTTTATATCCTGAAAAATTGTAATCATACATACCATCAATATTGTATTACTCGTTGGATTACTGAGGGGGTGAGGAAATTTAAATTTTTAATTTAATATTAGCAAAAAAACATCATTATAAGTTTTTTGATTAAATAAATGCTAATAGTTAATTGGGCCGTATCAGGGTGGCCTTTTCCAAACCTCTAAAATAGGGCGCAGCCACTCGAAAATATGGCAAAAATAGGGCAAAATTAGTCAAAAAAAGGGCAAAAAATAGGGAGTTATTTTAAAAATATAAAAATAATCAAAATTTTAAATAAAAAGCTTTATTCCGCATGTTCTCCACTAGTTTTAATTTAATTGAGTAGATCAGGATGAAGCTGTTTCTAAAAAATATATTTCGAAAATTGTAAATCGATGAAATACGAATATCGAAACTAAAAATATTTCAAAAATTTTTGAAATCGAAAGTTTACAGAGAAATAATCTCGAAAATCGGAACCGGGAGTCAGTTCGAAAGGTTCGATGTCTGGTACGTAGAGGGTCAGTAATAA